ATACGATGTGCGATCGGAAAGTTTCAAGACTGCGCCTATAAAGACACGTACACTTATCTCAGGTGTTAAATTCATCCATCACCCTCGAAGTAGTTCCCCTGGGAGTGAACACAACGATCCCAGCGCCGCTGCGAAGCCTGGAAGCATCCCTGGAAATCTTTCTTTGTCAGCCTGTCAAGCACCATCTGCGATTCTGCCTGAATCTCTTCTATCGTCTCAAATCTCCTTTCCTTTAGCTGAATTTTCATCTTTGGGAAGAGGAAGAAGTCACACGGAGCTTAGAAAGGAAGTTGGGGTCGGTTCTTGCAAGATCTTTGAGCTCCTGACAAACGAGAAGTCGATTCTGCTTCTGGTCCTCAGACAGGATGCGTCGCATGTGGAGTTCTTCCTTTAGAATCAGCTGACAGGTCCCAACAATGTCGCACAAGTCGTTGAAGGTATGACGTCGATCTTCGTGAATGGCCTGCCGAATCTTGGTAACATTTTCGGGCGTTGTGCTCGAAGATGGTCGTCCAGCACGCTCGTCATCATCGACAGAGGTTCGGCCGGCCCTTTTTAAAACGTGAATGCCACACAAAAGTTTGTGCTTGACCCATTGCGGACTCCCCAAATGCTTGCTTTAGCATTTCATAGGTTTCCGTAGCGGTTTTGGCGAGTCTTTGGCAAAATTTGATGCACACGCCATTCCTGAAATCGCAGGAGGGTCTGTGTAATGCACTACCAAAACGCCCGTAACTAAGAAACAAATGCTAATTCGATGATGCCGGCTGGCACACTGATTCACTATGAATGTAGGCCGCACCCCCTAGCGGCAGAAGCTCGTACTACATCCGGTTCGCCCTCTATTGACACAGTCTTGAAACTTTCTGATCGCACCTCGTACGAGTCAGCTCCCGAGTTGAAACAGGAGTCTTCTTCGTTCCTGAGGACATCGGGACGGACTGGGTCTCGCTAGTGACGTCGTGGGGTTTCCTGTAGGATAGCCTGTTCTGACCACGTACCTCAGTCTGTCCTCAGGAATGAGTTATTTATTGTCATTTTGCTGAGACTGAAATTCTCCTACGTATGAAGCACGGAAATCCCTTGGCAAAAAGTCGATTTACATTTGTAAACCGGTTTTGACAGAAGCTGTATTTTGTTTTTGTTTTTGTGTACGTGTTTGCTGGCGTATGACGACAACGGCGTCGTAAATTGGTTTTGTAGCCACCAAATTACCACTGCAGGGCGTATATATATATTTTTTTAACACTGTTCATACGTCATTTCTGACATATTATCACTTGTGTTTTTGTTGATGGGACATGCGTCTTAGTTGCACTTAGATGATTCTTAAACAGTGGTCTTTGTTCCCCTAACCCTCAGTTTCCCCAAATGGAGGTGTTCTTCATGAAAGTGCTCTCCGTTCTTTGTGACTGATCGTTGTATTATATACCTATTTACTTTTAGAAATGATCAGGACTGTAAACAAATGACATGAACAAGGCAAATCACCATTTCCTACCAAGATATCAGCGAAGCGACTACTATAATCTTTTTACCTGGTCGCTGGAATAATTGTTTTCATACACATTTTTAGAATAATGAAAATTAAATGTGAAATCCTTATTCTCGGGTTTGCACGACCGGTCTTAACAACTCAGGTTTCGGGAATAAGCGCGTTCCCGAAGATGGCATCTGCAATGCCTGTCGAAATACCTTCAACAGACGACGCGGTTCATCTCGTAAGCCGAGGTTTCGCGCCAGACTTCAAGGCAAGCGAACTGTTGGTCTACTCTAAGTATTGTGATTAATTAGTGGATGTGTGTTTTGTATGGTGTGTCAGATGTTTTATTTTGAGTGTGGTATGTTGTATTGTTGTGTCTCATTGTATTGTTGTGTGAGTGCATCAGTTCATGACGTTTGTAATACATTACAGTTATTGTCTTATGTCTAGGTGGTATTAAGTTCTTTTTTT